TCTGACTACAGCAGATACAAAGCCACAAGAGTGGATTTTACTTGCAGCAATCGTCAGATAATGCAGATGGAAAAACAAAGGCGCATAACCATTTTAATCCAGTCGAATGCTTCTGGTTGCCAAGGCAATCTAAAAATGCCTTTGCACCCAATGTTTTTCCGCATCGGCCAGCTAATATTTCGCCTGTAATTTATATATGACCATTCTGGGGAAAAAAGCATTCGGTAAACAACATAAATAAAGCGACCAATGAAATTGTAAAGTGCCCTGTCGTCGCCCGCTCTTAGTGGAGATCCTCGAACTGGGCAAAGTCCGCTCAAGTGACTCTGACACCTTGCAGCTCAAGTAATTAGCAATTTGTATGGCTTTTGGTCTGGGCCATTTGTTACGCAAAGCGCTTACAAAATGCCCGACTGGGCCATAAAAGTTCAACACCGCTTGAACACCTCGACGCAGGCCGCAAAAGTGTGCTACGCCTGAACTTTCCGCAGCCCATCTAACCGGCTCCACCTAAGCATAATGAATGTTACCTAAGCGTGATTTATATCAGTACGCAGCTCATAAATCTCTGGGTCAGCAAGGAAGTGCCCAAAAGCGGAGATTGAAGACGAAACTTGAATACCCTTTATGAGGACGATTTTACATTAAAAAATTGTCAATTGTGAAAAACGAAGAAAAGTGCATAAAAAATAAACCAAATGTGTAAACTCTCTATTCGTAGTCTTAAAAATAAACTAGATTTAGTACACAGAGAAAAAAACGGAACAATATGGAACTGATATTGTTTCATATCAATTTTTCCATAACAAAATGGTGTGATTTCATATCAATATGGTACAAAATCATATGTTCGGAAATATCATTTTGATATGAAAACAGATAGGCCGAAATTGATATGAAAAAATACCCGATGGATGATTATTTTTGGTATTTTTTTTTCTCTTTGTATAAAAAAGTTTTGATTTTATATCTATAACCATATTTACCTGTACATAAGAAACGGTCAGTAGCAAAAATCACCCTGAACGAATTGACATAAAAATCTAAAAAAAGAAATACAAAGTTTATACTCAGTACTTTTATTTGTATAGCAATGGTTTCTATGTAACCCAATTTTGAAAGTAGTTGAAACTATTGGACCTTATTAAAAAATTATATTTGTAATAATTTAGTTCCCATGTCTATAATTTTAATCATTTCCCATTAAAGATGTGGGCAATTCCAGAGCATTCAAATATTATTAAGCAATGTTTACATAACATTTTCGGCATACTCTTATGATATTGAAAAAGTTATTCTTCTTATAGCATACCTCTTCGGCCACCACTAAGCGACGTGACCCAGCGACCCGAGGCGACTGAATCTGCAGATATACCTCATCTTCCGGAAAATTTCACATAATTACGTGCAACGGCCGGACTTTGGGGCTGCGGCAGGAAGGTGCGAAGGTGGATCCCGACACTTTGACCTTTTGGCCACAATGTGCGCTCGTTAGTCAATGTTTAGCAATTTGTTATCAATCAATAATAAATGTAAATAACATCATAATAAGAACACAGGCGTTGGCTAGATGCGTGTCCCTCGTTCGCCGCTGATGATGGGGCATCAGGGCATCGGCTCAAATTGTCTATGTGGAGGCGAAAGGAATTTGGCCTAAATGAATTATGGCCCGCAAAAAAAAACACAAAGTGCGAAAAGAGGCAATACGGGCAGGCGATGGCGATATTGTATTTTTTCCGCCTCATCACGGCAGCTGTTTTCCAAATAGACAACGCTGCCAATTGAGCGAAAATCAATGGCAATCCAGTCAGTTGGCCAGGGTCCTATGAACACAAAGATGCCAGGATAGTGCCGCCCACAGAAACACCCACCCAGATCCAATCAGGCGATACTGGACACTGAGAGCCCGTGGTCTTTGTCTTACTTTACACTTGCCCACTGCCAGCGATTCTGTTTTTGTTTTTAGTTTCGCCCGGTGGTCATTCAGTGGGGATTCCAAAATCATTTCGATACCATTCCTCACCTCAAAGCTAAAAAAACAGAGTGCTGGAAACTGAAAACAGATACAAATACAGATAGATACTTGGCTATATCGGGGGAATACGAGTAAGAGTTATTCTGCTGCTGCACCTGTCTGTGTGTTTTGCGAGTTCTCCTGTTGCCGTGAGCAAGTTCATCTTATTCCGGCTAATTATTCCATTTGTTTTGCAGCTCCAAGTTTTTTGTCTTCCTCTGTTTCGTTGCCCCAAGGATTGTGTGGCGTGACTGCACTATCAAAAAGAGCCGTGGCAAAAACTTCTGCCTGGCTGGAGAATGGAGCATTGAGAATGGGGAATGGCAAACATATTGCATAGCACATGCAATTCTGTCAAAACAGTCGTACTCGGTTAGCAGCTGGCAAGTAACGCATGAGAAATGAGCAAATTAGTGGGCGAGTCACGGAAAAGTTGTAGTCGGATTTTGCCCCCAGATTAGCGGGAGAATACTTTGTTATTCTTTTAGCCGTTTGTTTTCAAAGTAATTCTAAGACATACATACGTACTCCACGAAAGCATTCCACCCAAAGTACAAGTTTTTGTAAAGCTATGCCCTATCTTTTAAAATAGATTAAAATTGTATTTTACGGCTAGCTGCCTGGAGGCTTTAACTCTGCACAAACAAAAAAAATTGTTGGTTTAAACTGACTTTACTGCTATCGAAAAAAGGTTTTTTCAATGAAAGGTTTGATTTGAAAAATATTTGGGTGTTAGATTGATATAAATAATCAAAACAATAACTCCGTTGCTTTTTTACAGAAACTTTAAATATGTGGGCGCAACAGTTGGAGTACGAGTAACGGATATAATATAAAACATTAAGTTTTGTTGCTGTGGGAGTGCATTTTTTAACAATTCGATGGCTGAGGACCGTTTTACCAATCGTTTTTTTTTTTTGTGTGTATAAACAACTTTAGTTAAAGTAACCAGAATAATTTAGTTCAAAAAGTTTCAATCAGTTAACTGGTTGTAAAACCACTAACACATTTCGCAAAATACCAATTATATTTGTGTTTTATCTGATTTAGCTTTGTGCATGACAACCAAATTAATTAGCAAAGTTTTGGTCACAGTTTAATCTTTGATAACATTTCTAATAATTAAAACGCCCTTATATATTTGCTGTATCTCATCTCTTCCTCTTCCTCATCTACTTTACATTTATTTTTATACAAAATATAAGATAAAACTCTCTCCTCTTAAATTGAGGCTTGCATTAAAATTTAAATGCTTTCCACTTTGAGGTACATGCCATTTTCTGTAGGGGAGTGTAGGGTAAGGTGACGAACGATTCGTTTTTTGAATGTAACTTTTGTAAAAATCACTATTTTTCAAAAGTGTAAACGCAGAAAGTTGCTTACATCTACTGAGCATATTCCTGTAAAACTCGAAATTCGAAATTCCAATGCAGCTAAATCCCACAGCGTTTGGCGTGAACCCTACTTTTTTTGCACTTTTAAAAGTTGTAGGGTAATGTGACGAACGATTTGTTCTTTAATGTAACTTCTCCAAAAATCAATATTTTTTAAAAGTGTAAAAGCAGAAAGTTGCTTACATTTACTGAGCATATTTCTAAAAAAATTTGGATTCGAAAATTCAACGTAGCCAAACCCCACAGCGTTTGGTGTAAACCATCCTTTTTACAAACAAAAAAATACATTTTTTTATATATTATTTACGGAAAGGTTATTTTCGATACGGAAAAGAAAAAAGTAATAAGATGATACCCAAACTTACAAAAAAAAAATGGTCAAAGTGCAAATTTTTTTTTAAATTAAATTAAACTGACGTCACTATTAAAAACAAAAATAAAACTGCAGCAGTAAATGTTATCTGGTATTATTATATTTTTTTTACAAATAATCAACGATAACAGTTAAAATTCTTGAATAAAAAAAGTTCGTCACAATACCCTACAAAAAGTTCGTCACGATACCCTACAAGGTAGACTTGGAGCCAAAACGGTGTCACTCTCAAACGGCGCAAAAGAAAAAAACGCGAGGGACCAAAAACTGTTGATAAAGATCTCATGTATACGTGCATATATTTGCCTGATTTTATTTTCCACTCATCTTTGCTCTGGCACTGCTGAAACACAAGTAAATTGAATGGGTTTGCTAGTTTGCGCACCACATTTTTAGCGAAAATTACCTCACGAACAAATTACTGGACTTCTTATTAATATTACTGTAAATACATTGTCGACACGATAAGGGGAGACGACTACATTTATTTGGAATTTTTGTCGTGACGTCATATGTGAGATTCGACGAGTTCGTCACATTACCCTACTCGTCAAATTACCCTACACTCCCCTACCAAAAAGAAAAGATTTCTTTGGCAAAATCAAAAGAACTTCAGTGCGATTTGATGCGGTAAATTTGAAGCGACAAAGCGAGCAATACGAGGCCAACCTCAGACTTTCATTTTTTCCGGATCAAAGCGACTGGAATCAAAGTTTTCCGGCTCGGGATATAACGAGCTTTTAACGAAGCATTATCTCTCAGCAAACATTTGAGTTTGCACTGGTGAATGGTTATTTTTAAAACGAACAACGAACGTACAAACTCTTAAATATGAACGAATACATTAACAGAAAAGAGTTCAAAGAACTCAAAACGATTTCGAACAAATATTGGCAACCAAAAAATAACACTAAATGGAATTTTGGCTGAAAACTGTCGACATTTTCACACCTACATGGGAAAATGTTATCGGTTACTCGACTTCAGAATTCTAGACAACTGCTAAATTTGCATCGAAGCATGATGATTATAGATTTCCGAAGAGCTTTCTAACACTTCAGAGAGCTCGAGCTTTCTTAAACAAAATTTACATTCTCAGACTACGTGTTTAAAATATAAATAAATATTTTTCAAAAATTACTTTTTAAAGTTTAAATTTTAGGATAAAGCAAACTTTTCTAATTTAATTTATTATTTACATTCACGCTTTAATAAAAACTTAAATTTTTTCCACTCTTAGGTACATTCCATTTTCGGTACCCAAAAGAAAAGCTTTCTTTGACAAAATCAAAGGAACTTCAGTGCGATTTGATGCGGTAAACTTGAAGCGACGAAGCAGCGATACAAGGCCAACCTTTGCCTGAACCTTTCCGAAACGCAGTCCAATACAATTGCGGGGTCCATCGCCAAAGGGCAAATAAGCCATTGGGTGGCGTGCCTTTACTTCCTCCGGATCAAAGCGACTGGGATCGAACTTTTCCGGATCGGGATATATCTCAGGGTCGTGGTGAATATTGTGAACGGGAATCAGGGCGTTGACTCCTTTGTCCAGCACTATATCTGTGTTGGGAACCTTGTACTCTCTATTGCATTCTCTAATGAGATGGGGAAGAAGGGGGTGTTTGCGAAGGGTTTCTGAAAGAAAGTATTGGTCTTGAATCATTCCTATTGGTTTCAGATAACCTGTACTTACCAGCCACAACCTGATCCAAGTAGGACATTTTGGCCAGGGAGTCGTAGTTAAGCTCTCCTCCTTCCACTTCAGCCAGCACATTTTCGATCTCATCCCTCACCCGCTGCTGAATATCCGGCTGCATGGCAAGCTCGTAGAGGCAGAAGGACATGGTGCTGGATGAGGTCTCGAATCCAGCCACGAAGAACACGAAGGACTGGGCAGCCATCTGCTCGAGGGTCAAACCCTTGGACAGATCGATACCCTTGCCGCTTTTGGCCGCTTCTTGGTCCTCGGCGCGAAGCTGTATTAACTGATCGATAAAGTCGTTTCGCTTAATGCCGTTTTTGAGACGATAATCGACGGTGTTTTTCACCGCCGACATGAAGAACTTGGTTATTTCATCGGGAAGTATTTTCATCCGGAGTAGCTTAGCCAATTTGGGATTGGTAAAGACAAACGCTTGAACACTCTGGGGATAACGGCGTTTCGTGAATATCTCGCGACCTTTCTGTCGAAACTCGGCATTGGGATCTTGGAGACTATCGCACTCCAACCCAAAGGCACACGATCCAATGACATCCGTGGTGAATCGGGCACAGAGGTCCTTGATCTCCACATTGCCATCGTCCACTTTTGACACCTTTACTAATTTATCCATGGTATTGGCCAGGCGATGGCCCACGTCCACGATCACTCCCGTCATTTGCTTCATCTTTCCGGAGGTGAAGACAGGAGACAGCTTGTGCCTCATCGATCGCCATTCGTCGCCTTCCAGGGCGAAGAGGTGACCCGTCAGTGGGTCATCTCGGGGATTGTTGAATGCACCACGATCTTGAAAGTAGTTAAAGTCCTTGATCATCACCTGCTTGATGAGGTCCAAATCAGTGATCATGGCGGTTCGCCTAAAGAACATGTACATTCCGGCGAACGAAGACTTTCCCTTGAACTGATCGTAAATCTGCTGATTGATATTCCGAAAATGATACTTTGATCCGATTCCCTTCATGTTGCCAATCACCGGCAGAGGCTTCTCACAGGGAACTCCTTTGCGCTCCCAATAAAAGAAGATTTTGATATAGAAATGGTAGGCCAAGGCCAATACAGCGGCAATTAGGGCGATTGTAAACAGCATTTCGAGCGGTCACTTTACTCTGTTCTTGACAAACTCTGCAAAAACACTGATCGTTTAGCCGCTTGTTCTACCTTTTTATATCTTAATCGAGCTTCTAACAAAGCTTTATCTCTCCGCAAACATTAGAGATTGCACTGGTCAATGGTGACTTTGCAAAACGGCAAACGAATACACAAATTTATAGGTATAAATACATACATCGGCAGAAAAGAGCTTTAGGTCTCGAAAAACAACATGCGTTTATTTAGTTAAACAATCGGAAATAAATATTGCCAATTTTGAAATATTTGTTTAGGGAATTGCCGCAAAAAACTTTCGAAATGGTCACACCCTAATGGTTAAGTGTTATCGGTTAGCCGACTTCACGGGGTCGGCAATCATTGGCAACTGGGAAATTAGTCCCGAAGCACGATGATTGTAGAATTCTGTGGAGCTTTCTAACACATCATGAGAGCTTGAGCTCTCGCAAACAGAACTATTATACCCTTGCAGAGGGTATTCCCGAAGGCATTTTGATTTTTTTACAATTTTAAAACAAAATTTAAAACTAGACAAAAATGTATCTGATATCTCTGGAACAGCACTGATCCCATAAGGCGCGAAAGACTTTCACGGAAGGGATTGAGCTATAATCTCTCAAAGAAGGTGAAGTGAAAGAGTTTGAGCATAAAGTTTAATGCTGTGTTTTTTTCTGCAAGGGTGTATAAATTTCGGCTTGCCGAAGCACACCAAGGTACTAATATATTCGTTGTCATACTACTGAGAGTGAAACGACTTGATATCTAAACAAGAGAGAACGCTATAGTCGGGTGCCCCGACTATCAGATACCCGTTACTTAGCTAAAGGGAGTGCGAAGGAGATGGAGAAAAACTTTGGTCCGCCGTAACTTTTTAACGAATGGTCCGATTTAAAAAATTTCTTCTACATTTCGATAGGTATTGATAAACACAATAACACTGCATTTTACTTTTCCAAAATATTGATTTTTAAAATCGTATATTAGCGATTGTGGGCGTTAGAGGGGGCGTGGCACCCTTTTGAAACAAACTTGTGCTGCGTAGGAACTCCTAGAATCTGCATGCAAAATGTCAATCTTCTAGCTTTTATAGTTTCCGAGATCTCAGCGTTCATACAGACAGACAGACAGACAGACAGACAGACGGACAGACAGACGGACAGACGGACATGGCTAGATCGACTCGGCTAGTGACCCTGATCAAGAATATATATACTTTATGGGGTCGGAAACGCTTCCTTCTACCTGTTACATACTTTTGCACGAATCTAATATACCCTTTTACTCTACGAGTAACGGGTATAATTAATCTACCTACTCAATAAAATATGGGTTAGTCATACTTAAAGGTAGTTTCCTAATAGGAATTATCTATCTTTTCAGTTACTAGGCACGCGAACGATTTTTTTTAAATTTAAGGCATTATTAGGCAACTAAAAAACATTAGTATTATGATATTACAAATATCTACATAAATCACATTAATACAGGATTTCGGTTTGTCATCGAATTTCAACATTTGCTTCAACAATGTTTTTGCCCGCTTTTTAATATACATTGTTATTTATCGATTTGCCAAATAATTATTCCACTTAAAAACCACAAATCGATCTAAATCAGCAAAAAGCCATCCGCTTATAATAAGCATAATTTCAGTAGGCCTAGCTTGATTATTTAATTCCAGCTTTTGTTTTGGTTTTTGTTTGTCACGCTGCGAGTTTTATGGGTCGAGCTGCCTTTAACTGCGGCATTACGATTTTTATGTCGATTGGAAGATGGCGCATTAGCGGCATGAAACGGGCCGTAAGCATTAGGCCCAAATCCTTTAAGCACCAACAACAGCACACACGCCCGCACACAGACACAAAATGCTTTTAGGCGCGACTCCGTTTTATGATTTACTGGGGAGTAGCAGATAGAGGTCCTGCGGGGCGGAAGTTGGGGCGTTTTGGCGTTTCAACCACTTCAATGCCGCCACCAAACCAACACGCTGTCCATCTGGAATACCGTTTAATGGGCCTTTAATCGCTTTCGCATAAATTTTCCCGCGATTTTGTAATAAACATGGGAATTCACTGACGCCAGCGACCCGACTTTATGTCAGTTTCATTGAGTTTACGCTTGATTTAATTTCTGCAACGTGCCAACTTTAATTAAAGGTGGGATGCAAAGGCCAAAAGGCAACAAGCAAGTCGTCAAACAAATCATCAACAGTCTGTCAATAAACGCCTGTTTTCTGTTCTCAGTTTCCTGTTTACACACAGGCTCACATTTCAATTAAAAGGACAAACACTCAAGATGTCGATTGCAAAAGTGTCTTCTGTAGGATCTAAAAATGAGCATTCAACACTCATTCCTATCAGATTTTAAGAAGATATGTATATATCTGCCCTGGGGTTAAGACAAAAAAGAGAAATGTACTATTTTTAAAATTTCTTTATAAAAAACTTCAAAAGCCTCAAGTTTTTTGAGCAACTTTTTTTTTTAGATTGCGAGTATTACTGTCTTCAGCATTACCAAGCATTTCAAGTGCATTGAGAACTGAAAAAAAAGTTTGTTTGACGTTTTATCAATCGGTTCTGTTGTGGTAGTCATGTCGAAACGTAGAAAACTATTTCTGATAACATAGTTGATAGCTTTTGTGTGGGAGTTTCTACATTGTACAAATAAATATAAATAAATTCTTATCGATAGGACCGTCTTTATCAGCTGTTTTTTGCACTTGGAAGCTCGCGAAGTAACAATAAAACAAATTCTCTCTTGCTCTCCTCAGCATGACAAACCATTTTACCGGTACACTTTGTTTATTGTTTAATCTATCACTTCTGTTTTGATCGTCGGATGGAAAAAAGCTTTGACAACAGAGAGCACGAAAAAGAGCTTCGCAAATGTTTATCTATCAATTTTGTTTTGACTGTCTGGTTTCAAAGGGACTATACATATATAAAAGCTATTCGAATTTTTATATACATTCCTCAAGCTTTAGCAAACACTTTTTAGTTCTGTTTGCGCGTTCTACGAAATCAATTCATGAGTGCTGATTTACCATATTAAATTCAAGACGCAATTTACGTACCGGCTAAGAAACTCTATAAGCTATTTATTTTATAACAACTACATATACCGATTGAAATGCTGCTAACACTAGCCTTACTGGGCGTGGCCATACTTTTGGCCTATAGTTTCTACCACAATTCCTACACCTATTGGGCCAGGAGGGGAGTGCCCCATGAGCCGCCTTTGCCGCTGATTGGAAATATGATGGGAATCGGATCGAAGTACCATTTCCGGGACATCAATCAGAGGATATACAATAAATTCAAGGGCAAGGCTCCCTTTGCGGGAATGTTCATGTTCTTCAAGCGAACCGCCATGATCACTGATCTGGACCTTATCAAGCAGGTGCTGATCAAGGACTTTCATCACTTTCAAGATCGCGGCATTTTCAACAATCCCCGTGACGATCCGCTGACGGGTCATCTGCTGACTTTGGAGGGCGACGAGTGGAAATCCATGAGGCAGAAGCTCACACCGGTTTTCACCTCCGGAAAGATGAAGCACATGTCGGGAGTGGTGGTTGAGGTGGGTCATCGCCTGGCCGATGCCATGGATAAGGAGGTGAAGGCGGCCAAAGTGGACGATGGCGATGTGGAGATCAAGGATCTCTGTGCCCGGTTCACCACGGATGTCATTGGATCGTGTGCCTTTGGCCTGGAGTGCTATAGTCTGCAGGACCCCAATGCCGAGTTCCGGGAAAAGGGTCGCATGGTCTTCGAGAAACCCCGCCACTCGATGCTGGTGCAAGCATTCATGTTTACCAATGCCAAGTTGGCCAAAAAGTTGCGGATGAAGGTTCTTCGCGATGATCTGACGGATTTCTTCCTGGCGGCAGTGAAAAACACCGTCGAATATCGCATCAAAAACAGCATAAAGAGAAACGATTTTATGGATCAGCTAATAGAACTCCGAGCCGAGGACCAAGAGGCGGCCAAAAGGGGTCAGGGTATCGATCTGTCAAACGGATTGACCCTCGAGCAAATGGCTGCCCAGGCCTTTGTGTTCTTTTTGGCAGGATTCGAGACCTCCTCCAGCACGATGGCCTTCTGTTTGTACGAACTGGCCCTCCAACCGGAGATTCAAGACAAGGTTAGGGCGGAGATTGAAAGTGTTCTGGATGGGAAGGAGATTACCTACGACGCTTTGGCCGAAATGACTTATTTGGATCAGGTGTTGGCTGGTAAGAATGTTATAATAACTACGAAAATAAATCCGCTAAATACCTGTAATTGCAGAAACCCTTCGAAAGCATCCCATTATTCCGCAACTTTTGCGCGAAACCAACCAGAGCTACAATGTCCCTAATACAGATTTTGTAATCGAAAAGGGAACCACAGTTCAGATACCCATACACAACATTCACCACGATGCGGATTTATATCCTGAACCAGAGCGTTTCGATCCCAGCCGCTTTGAGCCGGAGGCAGCCAAGTCCCGACATCCTTTTTCCTATTTGCCATTTGGCGATGGACCCCGTAATTGCATTGGACTGCGTTTCGGTAAAATGCAGGCTAAAATTGGCTTGGTATCCCTGCTGCAACGGTTCAAGTTCGGAATTTCAAAACTAACCGAGATTCCCTTAACCTTGGACACCCGCAGTCCCACTTTGTCCAGCAAATACGGCATTCATCTGAAAGTGAAACGGATCTAGACTCTGATTTGAACTTTTAAAAATCTCCTTACTTCTAACATGAAAAAAAGTGGTGCCAACATTCTCAGCAACTCTATCTTTTCTTCATATTGAAGAACAACTGTACCACTTCAAAACCCGATTGGTTTAGCCGGCTTTTTGGTGACTCTTAGAATTTTTTGTTGAAGTTTTTATTGACGCTTCCCCATTATCTCGAGTACCGAATATTAATCTTTTTTTTATGTTTTTGTCCAAATTATTTCACAATTTTAATAATACAATTTCTCCTATTGAAATTCTTTTTATATAAAAGTAATATTTTAAGTTAAAATTTGTATTGATCGGATGGAAAATTTATTTGTGATTAACAATCTTGTTTAACTTGCTAAACACCATTTTTGGCGAGTCATATACATAAAATTACGTAATAAAGATAATGTATATGTGTTTGGATAATTGCAGTTCTGACCATATAAAGCCGAAAGAGAGAGAGCGAGGTAAAAAAAGAGAATGTTGTGAAAGCTTTTCCGCCGGTAATATAGAGTGTGCCCCAGTTTTCCACTCAGTTGCTATTCCGTCGAACTGTGGGCATCATGTATACGCTCCTGGTTCTTCTGTTAACCGCTGGAATTTTACTATATGTCAAGCTCCGCCGGCACTACGCCTACTGGAGGCGCAGGGGCGTGGCGGGCGAAAAACCAGTGTACTTCCGCGGTAATATGACTGGATTCGGCAAGGAGCTCCACTGGACGGATATCAACAAGCGGATCTATGGAAAATTCCGGGGAACCGAGCGCTACTGCGGCTACTTCACCTTCCTGACGAAGGCCCTGTTCGTCATGGACTTGGAGCTGATCCGGAAGATAATGATCAGTGACTTTGGCAGCTTCGCCGATCGCGGACTCTTCCACAATGTGCGGGACGATCCGCTGACGGGGAATCTCCTCTTCCTGGACGGTCCCGAGTGGCGGTGGCTGCGCCAGAACCTGACGCAGGTCTTCAGCTCGGGCAAGATGAAATACATGTTCCCCAACATGGTGGAGGTGGGCGAGAGATTGAAGGCGGCGTGTGACCAGGTGATCGGCGAGATCGAGGCCAAGGATCTGTGTGCCCGCTTCACCACGGACGTGATCGGTAGCTGTGCCTTCGGTCTGGAGTGCAATAGCCTGCAGGATCCCGACTCGGAGTTCCGGCGCATGGGCATCTCGGTGGTCTCGAATCCCCTGCACTCGGTGCTCGCCCAGGCCTTCATGTTCACCCAGCCGGATCTGGCCAGGAAGCTGCGCTTCAAGCTGTTCCGTCCGGAGGTCAGTGAGTTCTTCCTGGACACCGTACGCCAAACACTGGACTACAGACGGCGGGAGAATATCCATCGCAATGACCTGATCCAATTGCTCATGGAACTGGGCGAGGAGGGGGCCAAGGATGCGTTATCCTTCGAACAGATTGCCGCCCAGGCCTTGGTCTTCTTCCTGGCCGGGTTTGATACCTCATCCACCACCATGTCCTTTTGTCTGTATGAGCTGGCCTTGAATACCGATATTCAGGACAAACTAAGAGTTGAGGTGCTCGACGTTTTGGGACGCCACAATCAAAAACTCACCTATGAGTCCGTTCAGGAGATGCCCTATTTGGATCAGGTGGTGGCCGAGACCCTGCGAAAGTATCCCATTCTGCCGCATTTATTGAGGCGTTCCACCAAGGAATACCTAGTACCGGATAGTGACCTGGTTCTAGAGGCGGGAACTAAGATTATGATACCTGTGCACAGTATTCATCACGATCCCGAGCTATATCCAGATCCCGAGAACTTCGATCCCAGTCGCTTTGAGCCGGAAGAGGTTAAGGCCCGTCACCCCTTCGCCTATTTGCCCTTTGGCGAGGGTCCTCGCAATTGTATAGGCGAGCGTTTCGGGCTATTGCAGGTCAAGGTGGGTCTTGTCTACCTCCTGAGGGACTTCAAGTTTAGCAGATCAGAGAAGACTCAGATCCCGCTGAAGTTCTCCAGTCGCACATTCCTGATCTCCACCCAGGAGGGAGTTCATCTCAAAATGGACAAAATTGCCACACCCTAGCAATGAATTATGTATTAGTCACACAATACGAAATGTAAAAATTGTTATCACCAAATAATTGAGGTTCTAGATTGCATTAAGTCCTATAATATACAAATGAACATAAAGAAATGGTCTTTTAGAAAAAGCTTTTTATGCACTCTTTTTGATAATGCCTTCTCTCAAAAGCTTTATAATCAAAACAAAAATTGTGATTAAGGGCTACTTACTCTCATTAAACGTGTTCCTTAGGTCTAGGGTGTAGGATTTAAATCTATTACTTGTAGAAAAGCTGTATGTTCAAAAACTAATCAAACTCTTTTTTTGCTTACCTGAAGACCACAAAAAGTAAGCCCCGACGTATTTTACATGGCAGTTATTTTTACGAAGAAAGTTAATTGCTACAGCACTCGAATGGTGGTTGTAATGGATAACATCCATCGGAAACAAGAACCCATTGAACAACTCACTAATATCACCACTTTAAAGATTGTTTTCCTTAAAAAAAATAATTTCAAAATTTTTAATTTTTAATAATAGACATCCACTTTTGTAAGGATTCCGGATATCCTGCCACTAGGTTTTTGAGCGAGCATTAAATTGCTATTCCTAATAAATGTCTCAGCTGTGTTCCATTTAAATTTCTGGTATAATTCCCCCTTATTTTAAGATGTTGAACGAAATGAACACGCAATCTTTAGTCTGTTGGCCAGTTGAACTACTGAAGCGTTTTTAAGGCAAAGATACTTAGGGTGTTCAATTGCGTTGCAAACGTTGTAAAGTGTAAAAGTGTAAGGCACTTCCAACAACAATTTCTATACAAAAAAATTTTCAAAAGTAGGCCTTTAAAACTATTTTGTATAGAAATTGTTGTTGGAATTGATATACACTTTTACACTTTACAAAGTTTGCAACGCAATTGAACACCCTAACTGTTTACTCTCTCTCTCTTAATATATGAAATATTAAGTTTGCCTTTTCTTCCTTTTAAAATCTCCCACTTAATAAGAAATAATTGACCCAAGAAAAACACGAAGTAGACATTTTTTTATCGTTAAAACTAATTTTATTAATAATACATACAATTCAGCTTATAGGTACAAAGAATGCCTGCACGCAAGCTGTCATTAAGGTTGCATTCAACATTCAGGGGAGTTAAGTTAATAAGTTAATTGGTTTTGCTTGATTCTGACGACAATGGTATCCAATCTCAATGATGATCACAACGACAACGTCCACGTCCGAGTAGATCTGCCTGGTATTCGGGGCAACTGGGCTTTGGGGGGTTCTATTGTACACAAGTATTTCTTAATCAGCTACTCATAATCTAGATTAGCGCACCACTAGCACGACTCCTTGTTGCAGTCGACAAAGTTGCTGAACTCGGTGGCATTGGGCGGGCCCTCACTGTACAGGTAGGTCACGGGCCACAGACGGGCGGCGGCAAAGTCACTCAGGCTCTGCAATCCCCCCGGTCGAGGTGGATGCTGGCTGTATTCGCTGCTGGCCGCCGTCGCCGGCTGGGAATGATGCGGATGAGGAAGTGGATGCTTCTGTTTCTCCTTGGCACTGGGCAATCCCAGGTGGGAGTGCGTCGGCTGGGTGCCGTTCTTTCCGGGGAAGTACCGATCGCTGCACTTGCGCCACTGGTCCGACTCGTCGCCAACGAAGCACCTGGAAAATAAGGTAATCAAATTAATGGATCTTATTCTTTCTCATTCTTTTTAGGTTGATTTCAATCTCTATTTGCTAGTATATAAATAATACCATGATTTTAAAAATTTGAAAAGTTTTAGCAATGTATTTCTTATTCAGAAAATTAAAACATCATTAGTTTGGATTTGACAGCCTTCATTTTATGTTTTAAAATGTATTACTCATTCGCAGTGTGATTTACTCAATTCATCAAACATGTTTACATGCATTTAATTTTTCTCTTCAAAATAAAGTGATCCTATTTAAGAATATATCAACTTCTGACCAAAATTTTAATTTACTGCATGGGTATAAAAAAGTTCATTAATTTAACGATTTTTTTAAAAAGATGCTACTTAAGATAAAACAATAAAATATCATATTTTTGGCATTCTAAATTATGAACCTCATTGAATTCATTTAAATACATGTTAGGTACTTGGCTGATACAAATAAAGGTATGAATAATACCATGCTAGTTTTAAAAACCATATTTTTAAAAATTTTAACCTTTCTCTTACTTACCAGGGATAATCGAAGCCCTTGCTGTAGCCGCACGGGTGGTCCTCCTTGCAGCAGTAGTCCCAGGAGCCAACCTCGGAGGCATCCGTCTCGCAGGAGTAGAAGCCCGTGATCAGGTTCTTGGCGCAGGGGCTGCTCCTTCGGCAGGGATTTCCGGACACGGTGTAGTGGCGCCAGGCCACGTCGCCTTTAGCGGACAAGAAGCGGGTTTAGTGAGGTCAAGAGCACGGGATTTCGGGGTGTGGAAGTCAGGATCGAGTTCGAAAACGGTGGCATGCAAACGATCGGTTAGTAGAGGTTTTTTTTTGGGGGATTCGTCTTTCGGTTATTCTGGTACCGGGGCCGCTGTACATGCTAGTAAACGTTATTTACACAACATTCTCCGCTACAAACTAATTTACACAAATTCTAATGCTAGTAATACACAACTAATGCTAATCCGCTGCCCGGGATGAGCAGTCGGAACAGGTTATTTACACTTGGAACGAGGAGCAACAGGTTAGTAGGTTGAGTTTACCCGGTTCCCGGAAGATGTCCATGCGCCTGTCGTTATTGACCCGCGATCCTCCAATCGTGTTGACCTTATCGCGGCAGGTCCAGTCGAAGGGATTCCAGGCGAAGAGCCAGAAGTCGCGATCCTTGGTGTGTGCATAGTGCACATCCTGCTTCAGTTCCGTCTGATCCAGATCGGAAAGTTCGCAGTTGAAGGAGCTTGCGTGGGAACTGGTATACGAAAAGGAATTTGAGATATATTTCTTGGTAGTTCTTACAACTCACCCATAGCTGAAGGCAAAGCATTTGAAGGGCGTCGTCTCCCTGAAGCGGATGCACTCCTTCTTGCAGGCCATCTCCGAGGGCACTGAAATCACCTTCTTGATGGCCGGAGGCAGCAGTCTAGCCGGCGATCCATAACCCAAATAGCAAACTAAGAAAATACGTTTTATTACTCCTTAGAGAGCAAACCAAATCCTAAAGAACCCACGTTTCTTGTGTTTTTCATCCACAATCGGCTGAATTTCGCATCCATGGCCGTAGCTCGCTCGCTCGAAAATGTCGAAGGCTGCGTCCAGGATGAGATGCCGCTCCTTGTCCATGTCCCTCACCGGCCAATCGCTCAGCTGGCAGTTGTCGATGACTCCCGCGTGTCGCTGCTGCCCGTAACGGAAGGCAAAGGCCCGGCAGGTGAACTTTGTGGAGCGGATGCACTCCATCTCGCATTCGCCCACAGATCGCACGGTCAGCGAGTCGCGCACAATCGATTTAAAGAAGCGCGTGGCATCGATTGCGCGGAAGAAGCACTCTGGAAAAGGGGATTTAAGTTAAGAAGAAGAAAATCAATTATTAAATAAAATAAATAAATAACAGGGTTTTATCCATTATCCATATCCATGGAAATCAAAAAACATCTCTATCATACGCAGTTTTCTGGTAAGAATATTTATGTAATAATTAATAATATTTTAATATTAATATTTTTATTAAATAATTATTCCCCTGAATTCTAGACAAATTTTCTACCCCTAAAGAAAACTTTGTAAAAATAAAGTAAACTTACTACAGAAAATCAATTGTTTTGTACATGACAATAAACACCATTTACCCAAATTTATAAAATTCAAGGCGAATACCCTTAACTATTTATTACTAGTTTATAGTAGTACGTACAATTAAGCAACGAGAAATGATAGTTATATTAATCCAAACTTACGGGCATTTCTAGGATCCGAGAGGGCAGTGCTGGGACCGGGACCAGCGGTATCATGTCGCCGAGGTGGCGGCTGCCGGCACACGTCCATGTCGTCCGCCATGGAGTAGATGTCGTAGTCCCGATCCGGCTCGATGTCCACGTAGTAGTCGAGCATGTTAATGGGCCGGTCGCAGAGCATGCAGTTGTCCCTGCCCGCCTGGTTGTACCGGTAGCTGTACGTGTGGCAGATGAAGCTGGGTCGCTGGTCGGAGCACAGGCGCTCGCACTCCGTCAAGGTGGGCACGTTGTAGGCGTGCTTCACGGCCGTCTTGTGCAGCCGGAATCCCTCGCTGGTTTTTGCCGAGCATTCTGTGGGTATCGATTAGAAAATAGTTACTTTAAATTTATTTATACACGAATATAGAACATAGAAATCATTTAATGTTTAATAATACAATTAGGAATATTAAAAATTGTATTTCAAAAAGTGAAATAATACAGAAAAACTTGAACTTAAAATTAAGAATTTTAAATTATTAATTTGTTTACAAAAATAATTTTACTAAAAATGTACCTACTGTAATATTTAATTTATTATATTTTAATAAAAATCAGCACGTCGTCCGCATGCTAAACTTAACGTAGCTTCAAACTCTAAAATACATAGAAATCATTTATTGTTTAACATTAAAATTAGGAATTTTAAAAATCATTTATTGTTTAACATTAAAATTAGGAATTTTAAAAATTGTATTTCAAAAAATAAAATAAGTCCGGAAGACATTAATAAAATTAACAACTTTAAATTATTAATTTATTTACAAAAATAATCCAACTAAAATTATACTATTATATTTCATAAATTATTTAAAAAGTCGTTTCAAACTCTAGAATACGTAATGAAATTACGGACTTAAACCTACTTTTAGTTTAACAAACGGACAAGAAAACGGGCGTGATTTAACCTTTAAAGATCCTAACAACTTATTACTCTTAACTAAGTTTAGAGTAAAAATGGATCACATATATAGTATTTAAAATCACTTCGATTTTCTAGACTTCAAGGACTCAATGAATCACTCACCGTCTTGTCCCGGCCTTCGTGTCCACTGCTGTCGGTAATCGTTGCGCCGCCTTGGGTAATCATCCTCGTAACCAGAGCCCGGATAACTGAGCACCGAGTTGGACTGGCGGTGTGGAGCCCCCAGCTGGAAGTAGTTGAAGTCCTGCTGGTCCTT